GCGGTACAGCGCATCCTCGTATACGTTCTTCTTGTGCGGGTTGAAGGACTCGCCCTCGCTCGCCCACGTCGGGTGGCTCACCCACGCGTCGTTGAGCACCTCCCAGCAGAGCGGGTCGCGCCCGCTGCACGCGAGGTTCACCTCGCTCGCGGGCAGCTTCCGGTACGACGGCCCGTACGCCTTCTGCGTGGAGAGGTCCACGCGCGCGCGCTCGAGCGCGGGCACGTTCTCCAGTACGGGATCCTCCTCCTCGAGCCACCCGTGCCGGCTCATGTCGTACCCGCACAGCGCCTTGAACGCCGCGAACAGCTCCGGCTGCCCGCCGAGGAAGAGCGCCGCGCGGTCCACGAGCGTGCGCATGTCGATCACGTCCTGCGTGTACAGGTTCAGCAGCTTCAGGAAGTCGAGGTACGTCGCGCGGTCGTCCATGTGCTTCTTCACCCGCTCGAAGAATGCGACCTCGTCCACGGACGCCATGTGCGGCATCGGCGCCACGTTCCCGCCCACCACATGCGGCGGCGGATACGCCTGCATCCCGTACATCCCCGGCTGCATGTATCCGACCCCCGCGTCCGGCGGCAGCGCATCCATCCCGTACGGCGGCAGCGGCGGCCCCGGCGCATACATCTCTCCGACGTCCCCGCCCGGCGGCAGCCCCGGCATCCCGTAGCCGGGCCCCGGCGCGCCGAGCCCCTCGCCCTTCCCGTGCCGCCCGCGCTTGCTCCGCGCGCTGCTCTTTCCAGCGCCCGCGGCACCCGCCGGCGCGCCCGCCGCCGCGGCGGGCGGCGCCTCCTCCTCGCCCGCGCCGCGCTTCCGCCGCGGGGCCGCGGGGCCCGCATGCGCGTGCGTCCGCGGCGCGTCGTACACGGGGAGCGGCGGCGGCGGCGCGGGCGCGTCCCCATGCATCCCGTTCGTGACGTGCCCAAGCATGCCGAAGAGGCCTGCGGAGCCGCCGCCCGCCGCGCCGCCGCTCCCCGGGTCGGGGAGGAACTGCTTGAACTCGTCGAGCAGGTCCTTGGCGTGGTCGAAGAGCACCGTCACCTGCGCGTACACCTCGTGGATCGGCCGCTGTTCCTTCTGGTACGTCTGCAGGATCTCGAGGAACTGCTTGTATGTGTCGGGGTCCCCCGAGAACCGCTGCTTGATCCGGTTCACGTAGTTGATCGCGTGGTTGAATTCCACCGGCGGCCGCGCCGAGGGCTCCGCGCTCCCGCGCAGCCCCTCGAACGGCGCCCCCGCCGCGCCCAGCGGCGACGGCGCGCGCGCGCCGAAGCCGCCGCCGAGTGCCGCCGGCATGCCGAGCGAGTGCGGCGGGCTGCCGCGCCCTCCCGGCGCGTGCGGCGAGCTCGTGCGCCTGCCGAGCGCGCCGGGGCCCGGCGCCGCGCGTTCCGCGCCCGCGAGCGGCATGCTCCGTGGCACGGGCGGCGCGCCGAGCGGCAGCACCGCTGCATTCGGCGCGCGGCCCTCGGCGCCGTGCGGCGCGGCGGCGCCGCCGGCGCCGCCCACCGCGCCGTCCACGGGTTCGGCGACATTCATCCGCGTGATCGCACCCGCGATCCCGACTCCCCCGAGCGTCTGCGTCGTCTTCCCGGACGGTGTGGTGACGGTGATCATGTTCCCGTCGTGCTGGTCGACACTGCACTCGATCCGGTACCCCGGCGGCAGAAACGTGTTGAACCCCTGGATCAAACTCGGCTGCCCGCGGAACAGGGTCGACACGCGCTCAATCACGCCCGGCGTGTCTATCGTCTGGCTCTTGAACTGGCGATGAGCATGCGTCCGCGCCACCCGCCGCGGCGGCGTCCTCTCCCTCCGTGCACACCCGCTGCCCCTCTGGCCCCCTGGCCGCCGCGCCCACACGTACATCTTTCATAATGTCCAGAAACCGGTTGTACACGTCCGGGTGGTCGGTGAACTGTACTTTCACCTGGTCCAGGTACGACAGCGCGTCTCTGACGTTCAAGGTCGCCTGCCGGTCAGCAAGGCCCTTCCGGTGCGCCCGGCGTACGCACCATGGTTGTTCAGCACCCGGGAACGGTCCTCAGGTCGGAATCCACGCGCACGCGCAGCGTATTCGTATGTACACTTGTCTACCCCGACCACCGGCGCGGGTGCTGTCGGTCGCGGGCTACAAGTGGGGACAGTATCTGCGCTGTATGCATGAGGCCGCACGTGACCTCCACACACTGCGGCCCGGCGGCGGGCGGATGGGAGCGGAGCGGCGGCGCAGCACAGCCGCACGCGGGACGGGGAAAGTGCGCAGAGAGCGGGTCCGGATGTCGGAACGGACCTGCATGCGCCTGCGGCGATGCCGTCGTGGTGGCCGGCCCAGCACCGTCGGCCCTTTTTTTCCTCTTGGCGTCTCCGCGGCCAGTCCGGCCCCCCGCGCACCGTCCGGATTGATCGTCTCTGTTTCTTTTTCTCTGGAAGGCCTCCGCCTCTCTGTGTCAAAGGGTGTCCGCAGGGAGCTTTTCAGACATCCGCGCTGCCCCTCTGTGTAAAAGGACGTCTGCAGGGAGCTTGCAGGTCGTCCGTGCTGCCTCTCTCTGTCCCTCTTTCTCTGGATAAAAGGTCGCCCAGATGCCGCCAGCAGGCCGTCCACATCGGTCCTCTCTGCCCCTTCCTCTGCCTCAACGGCCACCCATCCACCTCGTTCCTCCTTGTCCCTTTCACCGTGTCCGTCTCTATCGCCCATGTACTTTCTACTCTGCGCCAGTACCCGCTCGTTACCGCCCCCACCGTCCCCCTAATTTTTCACTCTCCCCCCCGCTCCCTCCGCTTCCGCCCCCCGCTTTCCCTCCGCTTCGTCCCCTTTCGCCCCCCTTCCCCCCCCCCCATACACACTCGGCGGACGCGCCCATCTCCCCAGCGCATAGCTCATCCGAATAACCAAGAGGTCGCGGCCCATCCGCAGCGAGTCCGCCAGCAGATGAATCTTGCTCCCGTCGATCTCCGTCCAGTGCACAGGGACCTCACCGATGGGAAGCGGGAGCTTCTCCAACGGGTCTCCTTTCGTCCCATCCACATCCCCGCATCCGCACGCGAGCTGCCGCATAGCATGCTCGCCCTCACTTGCGCGGCCCGCCATCTCCGCAAGCAGGAGGAGCTCCACGTCAAAGATCCACCGGTCAATGTGCGCGCGCGGAAAGATGAGCTGCGCAGACGCGCGGGAAAACAGCTTAAATCCACACTGCGTGTCGCGGATCTCGGGCTGCACAGCGAGCGGCGTGACGCGCGCATGTGTGCGCACGCCGGCGGGCGTCCGCGTGAGCCACGTCGGCAGCATGTGCGCGACGTCGCGCCCCAGCGACGACAGCGACGGCGGACGCATCAGGAGCCGCAGCGTCACGTGGAAGCCGCGCATGAGCAGGTTCCGCAGGCGGCTGCGCTGCGGTCAGCGGGCGCTGCGCGGACGCACCTTCACCACGGCGTCACTCGTGACGAGGTGCGCGCGGGACCCGACGACTATGCCGTGCCCCTCCCGCGTGCACATACGGGCCATCTCGCGCGCGAGCGCGCCGAGATCCGCGAACCGTGTCGCGCCGTCTGCGTCGGCAAACAGGATGTGCGCGCCTCGCGCATGCAGGACGCCCTGCGGTCAGCTCCGTGCGCGGCGCGACGCACATGCCGCACGGCTGCGCCCTTTCCGCGGTTCGTATGTAGGCGCGTGATGCGGATCTCGGCGCCGGGCGGCAGCGCGCGCTTCTGCGCGTACGCAAGCGCGACGTCGAACGTATCGTCGCTCGACCCGTCGTCGACCAGCAGGAGTTCGTACGTGGTGAGTGGCGCCGTGAGCGCCGCCGGTGCGCGGTCCGTCGGCTCCCCCGCAAGCGCGCCCCGCACCGCACGCACGCCCTCGAGCCATGCGACGCTCTCGTCCAGCATCGATGGGAGCCGCTGCGCCTCGTTGTACATGGGGACGACCACGGTAAGCTGTACGGCGGCCGCATCTCGTAGCGCGGGGAGCGGCAGCGTGCGCGGCGCGCATGCGGCAGTCGTGTACGTACGCTCCGCGGCGGTCGTCGTGTGTGGCGTCGGCGCCGCCATCCGCAGCGCAAAGTACGGCTCCTCGTCAGCTCCGACGCGGAACACAACACACCGCAACAAGCGCGGCGACGAGCGTCGGCACCACGACGGACACCGGCACGAATGCGAGGCCCTCCAGAATGAGACCCATGCCGTACGACAGCATCGAGCCGTCCGCGACGCCCAGCAGTGTGCCGGCGCCGCCCCCTGCACAGCATGCGGCGCCCATCGTGCGAATCAGTAGAGTTGCATCCCACCACCCGCGTCGCGCGCGTCCGAGCGCGGCACGTGACCGACTTCCCGGCCGTGCGCACCGGCCCCGGCGCGGCCGTTTCCTCCCGAAGCCACTGCCAGCAGTCATGCCGCCGGTTGAGTACAAGTTCCCGAAGGACGGATACCAGACGATTCTCCTGCTCAGCCTGTTCCTCTATGTGGACAATGCGCAGGGCCGCTCGCTTGGTGCGCGTGTGCGCGAGGCACTGGGGGGGGACCGCACCATGACGTTTATCGCTAAGTGGATCGTCGTGATTCACGTCCTGGAGGCGCTTGCGATGCTGCTAATCAATGCGAAGCGCCGCGCGTCACCACTCGTCACTGTACGTACTGCGGGGGGAGCGCGGGCCGCCGGTTGTCTGCCGCAGTGCGTCGCCCACCGCCGCGTCATCCCGCAAAACGCCCCCCCTCTTGCCGCTCGATTCTCACGCGTCTCTCCAGCTCAAGTGGGTCGCCACCACATTCTTCATTGGGTTCCCGACTGTGGGGACGTACGCTGGTACGCGGACGACGGCACCGATCGCTGACGCGCAGCGGTGAACAACGGCCTGCTCCCGTGAGATGCTGGCGGCACGCAGACACACGGCGATGCGACATCCGCTTGCGCACCAGATCATGCACTTCCCCGCGTGTGCCTACATTGTAGCTGTCCTCGTGAATAATGGCCACCGCATTTCCCGTGGCGCCGCGCAAAAATAATCCGACAAGAATGAGATTCGAACTCACGCGGGCAGAACCCAATGGCTTACCAACCCTAATCGGTTGTGCTTATAGCAGGCCACCGCCTTAACCACTCGGCCATCTTGCCAAAACTGCCATCGCTGTAGTTCGTCCCACGATACTTCGCGTGCATCCGCTGCACAGGCGTGACACCCCCGCTACATGAACGAGTCGTCGGACGACATCCCTTCGTCTTCGGCGCCCTCTTCCTGGTCTCGTTCGCCGTCCACGCCCTGCGCGCGCGCGCGGAGCCGCTGCCTGCGCTGCTGCGTGCGCTGCGTCTCAGCGATGGCCTCCTCGGAGAACACTGTGCGTGAGCAGCTGCGCGACGGACGGCGCACAGTGCGAGTAGTCGCGCGCGTCAGAGAGTTCCTTGTGTACGCGTTTGGAATCAGCCGCATCCTGCTTCTGTGCCGTCGCAAACTCCTTCTTCTGCCGCCCCAGCGCGCGCTCACGCTCCTGGCGCACGGCCTCATGATCGACGTCCTTCACAAGGCGCGTTTTCTCCAGGCGGTTGACGATACCATTTTCCTTCTCCTTTACGTACGCGCGCCGCACCTCCCACGTCAGCGCCGCATCGCATCGGCACCTACTTCTCTGTCATTGTGGAACGCCACAGCGCCGACCGCCATATCGCCTGTTTTCTTTGCGTGTTAATGCGTCCAGCCGACAGCGTAGCGCACTTTCAAATTCGCGAACGGCGTGTAAATCACCGTGATATTATTTTTCTTGTTCCCTGCGATGAGCGAGGCGGCGGCCGGTGCGCGCACCTTGGATTGAATTGGCCTTCACGAGCTGCGCACAGTCCTGCACGAGCGCGGCTGGGATTTGTGTCCACGATGGGATGCTCGATGGGACGCGAAGGTAGACGTGCGCGGACGATAACTGTATACAGTCAGCCTCTCTGCCTTGTTTCGCCGTGCCATAGCCGCACCTTGTCGACATGGAACCAGACATCCTGTCGTCAGTGCGCCGGCGCGCGTAGGCGCACCTCTGGAAACCCGTATTTGAGCAGCTCCTCATCTGTACTGTGAGCCGCTGTGTCGCGCTTGGCTCACATACTCTCCACCTGGTTCGTTAGACACTCCTCGTCCGCGGCAGCCGGGCGGGGGGCATGGGATGGGGGGCAGGACCCGCGGATCGAGTTTGGCGCGGCAGAATCATGTGCCTTGTTTCCATCCTCGCAGCCATCTCCGTGAGAGTTCTCTGCACGAATCCCTAACCCAGCCCGGTTCCCCTGCGCCTCCACCCCCGCCTCACCTTATCAACACCCATGTAGATGGATGCAGGCGGATCGACCACTGTACACGTCAGCCGACCGCGGGGACCCTCGGCGCCCCACCTGTGGACGTGTAGAAAAGAACCATGGTGAGAAAAGGTGCACAGGAGGGCTCGTGCGCAGGCGAGGGTACTCACGTGATATGAACGCGCCGCGCGACTGTTGTTCTATGTGCGCCCGTACGGCCGCCAGGACACCATGACAGGCGGAGAGGCGACACCACCGACGCTGGAGGGACGCATGTCGTCTATGTCTCTCGCGGGGGGAGACACATCGCCGCGCCACAGCAGTGCGCGTACGGCTACGGGTGTGCGCGCGGGTGGGCCGGCGGCGGCGCTGACCAATACGACTTGGCTCGCAGCGCAGCAGCAGAGGAAAGCGGCACATCCCCCCTTCCAACCGCGCCCCCTCAAGATGCTGGCCAGCACGGAGGGTACGGATAGGCGCGCCCCACTGTCCAAGCTCGCGTTTGGGAACGTGCCGAAGGGAGCGTCGGAGGAGCGGCGCAAGGGCGCACCGGCGCCGAGTCACGGCGCAGTGCGCTCCTCCACGGGCGCTGCGGACGCGGAGAAAACACGTGTGCATGCGCATCAGACCGCGAAGATGGCATCGTTTGATCTCGGGCGGTACGACGGGGGGCTGGAGCGCGACGAGCACAAAGGGCGCCGCGCCGTGAGCACCCGCAGGGACCACGGTGAGGACGAGCAGAACGTGCTGGCGATGGATTCGTCCATGGACGGGTGCGCAGAGACGATACACAAACTCACGCCAGCCTCTCGCACCAGCCGACGCGCGCCTGGAGCATGTCCGAGTTCGAAATCGGACGCCCGCTGGGCAAGGGCAAGTTTGGTCGCGTCTACCTCGCGCGGACCAAGTCGGTGACATCCGCGCGTCTCGGAAACCAGGGCTACGTTGTGGCCCTGAAGTGTGTGTACAAGAAAGAGCTGGTTGAGAACAAGGTGGATCTGCAGCTGCGGCGGGAGATTGAGATCCAGATGAATCTGCGGCACCCCAATGTGCTGCGCATGTTTGGCTACTTCCACGACCCTGGGCGGATCTTTATGATGCTCGAGTTCGCCGGCCGCGGCGAGCTGTTCAAAATCCTCTCGAAGCTACCGGACCGGCGCTTCGACGAGCCCACTGCCGCGAGATACATTGCGCAAATTGCCGACGCGCTGCAGTATCTGCACTCGAAGCACATCATCCACCGCGACATCAAGCCGGAGAACCTGCTTGTCGGCATCCGGGGCGAGGTGAAGATCGCCGACTTTGGCTGGAGTGTGCATGCGCCGAGCAACCGGCGTGCGACGCTCTGCGGTACACTCGACTACCTGCCCCCGGAGATGGTCGAGGGCAAGTCGCATGGCGGCGCCGTCGACCTCTGGGCGCTGGGCGTGCTCACGTACGAGTTTCTCGAGGGCATCCCGCCCTTTGAGGAGCTCAGCGGCGCGAGTTGTGCGTCGACGCCTGCGCGAACTCACCGCCAGTGACATACAAGCGGATTGCTGCCGTCGACGTGCACATACCAGTCCACTTTAGCGAGGAGGCCAAGGATCTTGTGCGCTCGGTGCGTTGTCGCGTCTCCTCCATGCATACTTACGTGGAGCTCCTTAAATACAGCCCTGCTGACCGCCTTCCCCTGGCAAAGGTGCTGCGGCACCCGTGGATACTGCGTCACGATCCGCAGGCACCGGCGCGTGCGGCGCGGTTCAAGGGGAGGGAGTAGGGGGGTGCGGGGGAGGGGGGGGGGGGGCGCGGAAAGGGGGGCAAGATGACTCTTGTAAGAAACACCTTCTATATTCACTGGAATGAGTCGGAGCGCACAGACCACGCACGGACACGCGTGCGGCCGACGCGGTAGAGCATACACGCGCAACAAAAAAGGGGGCGGCTGCATAGAGCACCTACGGACACGCTCCCTCCTGTGGTGCCGGACGCAATTCCACCGACACGTACGACACCGGACCCAACTTGCCTCCACACACCCATTCAGCCCCGCCCCTCCATCACACTCTCATCAAGGGAAGCCGTTCGACGGGCCTCCGGCCGGAAGCTGCCCAAAACGGGCACCTGCCGCGCCCGGCCGCCTGCATTCCTCCACGCTACCCATTCACAAAGCGCAGTATCAGATACAGCGTGGACCCGATGAATCGTATCCCACTCATCACGGCGACAAAGACCTGGCGTTAGCGTATCACTCCTCGCACGCACCAGAACCACGAGGATGTACGTCTTCGTCCTCATGCTGCCCGCCTCGGGATTAAAGGTGCCCGTAAGCTGCGTATCGAGGATGATGCCGGCGAGGAGCGCGTTCGAGAGCGACCAGACAAGGAGCACATTTGTGCGGATGTTTTTGTAGTAGTCGACCTTGCGCGCCGAGAGCCTGCCGGCGCCGCCGGTCGGCGCGGGGGCGGCGGTGTGGTCCCGCAGATTTGCGAGCGCCTCTTCGTACGCAGTGTCGATGTCGGCCTGCGCAGAGGGGAGCGAGACCTCGGCCATGCCCTGTCCCGTGGACGTGACTTTGCCGAGGTCTGCGGCCGCATCCGTGTCGCCCTTGGTGCCCCAGGAGAAATCATGCAGGTCTGTGGTGAGCACGGCGTGCTGCCGCACGTACTGCAGAACGCATAGATATTCAGAACGCTGCATGTCAGTGGGGTGCGGCGGGGCGGCGTACTTGATATAGGTGGGCGTGAAGAGGAAGTACTGCAGGCTGCTTGTGATGAGATGCATTGGCTCCAGCGCCAGGAGGGAAGCGACGGCGTATACGCCGTACGTCGCGACGAGGCTTACGACCATCTGCGCGAACGTCGAGTTGTGGTCGCCCTGGAACAGTTTGATGATGCACACGACGCCGGCGACGAGCATGTACAGGGTCACTGGCGTGAGCCACGGCGCGGTGGTGGCGTACACAGCGCAAATATGGCGACAACCGCGGTGTATTTCCACGGGCTCCCCTGCGGCCGGTTGCCCAGCGCAAGGATGAAGCAGGCGATGAGTGTCCCGATGTACACAAAGTTGAGGATCTCGTTCAGCACGCCGATGCCCGCGAGGTGGAACGACGGGTCCTCCATGCCCTTTGTGAGCATGCGGAAGAAGATGTAGAAATTCGCCATGCCGAACCAGGCGAAGAGCATGTTCACAAACGAGTACGCGGTGCTCAGCGCGAGCGTGGCCTTGCGCCAGCCTGAGTGCGCCGAGTGGCGGTACTGCAGGCTGTGCGTGAGCGCGTACATCGCGGAGAAGAACGCTCCGTTCAGCCAGCGGCGCCGCTGGCTGATGAACTCGGGCAGTCGGTTTGGCACGTCCGTCACGCCACGCGCGGACTTGACGTAGCGCATGACCCACCCCGCGTTCGCCTTCGCGGCGAGCTCGAAGCAGAGGATGCGGTCCTCCGCGAGGTCTGCCGTCAGCCGGCGGTGGCGCTCACGCACACATATTCGACGTGAACACGTCCGCATCGCCGCCGTGCAGACACTCGCCTTTGAAGTACGACGCGAGCGGCCCCTTCCCCGTCGCCGGGTCGTCCAGCAGCGCAATGTACCGGTACGCTGGCGTCAGCGCGCGCCGCGCGCCACATACCGCTGAATGCGCCGGGAAGCACGGAGATGTAGCCGAGCACCGACTCGGTCGTCTTGTCGAGGATATTGCTGATTTTGTACCTGGTGTCAGCGCCCCATCGACACGACGCACTCAAAGTTCTGTGCGGCGACAAGCGGGTTCAGCAGGCCCAGCCCCAGCCCCATTTTCCCGCCCGTGTCCACAGAGATCTCGCCACAGGCGCCCGCCACATTCGAGTTCATGTCGAAGCT